CATGTGGGGCCTCCCCGGGCTCTGTCCGGGGCATCTGGAGGGTGATGCGAGTGTAGGATTTGGGAGGCCTGGTTCAAGCCTCAGCCATGCCCACCTGTGAGCCTGGACACGTGTGACCTCTCTGGGCCTCGGCCGCGTCCTCAGACCAGAGGCGCCACTGCAGCCAGGGGTCAGCGGGGGGCTGGGGGATAAAGGATGGTGAGAAGGGAGCCCAGGGCAGGGGTGGGGTGAGACTGTGGCCCCCAGGCCATGCCCTCATTCCTTCCCCGGGTGGATGGGGCAAAAGTCCAGGCACTGTCGCCGCCGCCCAGAACCTCCTTGGGAGAAACCCCTGCCTCCCCAGAGCCCCTCTGTAGACCCCCTCACTGCCCCTTTTTTCTCTCCCCACCCCCAGTGCCTCCCACCATTGAGCAGGGGACAGAGGGCGCAGGGCCCCTGGTGCACAGGGCTGGGGAGCTGGTGACCATGGCGTGCCCTGTCCGGGGCTCCCCGCCCATCCACATGAGCTGGCTCAAGGACGGCCTGCCCCTCCCGCTCTCCCAGCGCACCCACCTCCACGGCTCCGGCCGCATCCTCAGGTGAGGGAGCAGCTCCTGGCCCGCCGGCCGCTGGATCGCAGGCCCGACACCTCCCGGCAGCTGGGCCTTGCTCACCTGCACAGGTGCGGCCTTCAGAGTGGGAGGCAGCAGCACGTGCCAGTGAGGTCGTAGGAATCGCTCTTCAGGACGCACTGATTCAGGCAGGATCCCCGAGAGTGTTCTGTTAGGAGGCAAAGGTGATGGGTATTTCTGAGAAAGGGAAGGGGAACAGTACGCCATGGAGGGAAGGCGTTGCGATGGGCAACAACGTAACACGGGGATGTCAACGCTAAACTGTTTTCACTTTCCAGCCCAGTCGTCACATAACTGTTTTCTTGTTATCTTTGCAAACAGCTCTTTGGGACACACTGTTGCCCCAGGCCCAGTCCAGAGGTACCTTGCCCTGTTTAACACCCCAAAGATTTGAGACAGAAGACACGCAAGGAGCCAGTTTCTCTGGCACAGCCGCTCCGCTCGGCTCTGCCTTAGAGAGGCTCCATTTATATTGTTGTTTACAGGCTTTGTAGAAATTATATAAACGTACAGTTTCATGAGGGGGAAAGTGAGAGGACCCCACCCCCAAATGAAACGCCAGAGATGAAAGGGGCCTCTGTCCAGAGGCTCTCACAGCCCAACGGGGAAGGCACAGATCCAGGGCCTGACATCTGGTTGTGCCCGACCCAGCCTGGCCTGGGGGAGGAAATCAGGGAAGGCTTCCTGGAAGGAGGTGCATGAGCAAAGCCTTCGTGCATTCAGCAAGGCTTGCAGATGCTTGCTGTTCCAGGCATAGCTCTGGGCACTGAGATGTAGTGAGCAGGATAAAGGCCCTGCACCTGAGGCTTTGGAGGTGGAGGGAGATGGAAATCAAACATCCTATCTAATAATAGACAAACATGGTAATTGACCGTACCTTCGCTACCCCTCCCATTGGCTAATCAGCATGATATGCAAATTAACTGCCAACAAAGAT